AGGGAACTTCCAGCCGCTGATATGCCTAACAGCACTGTAAATCTCCGCCTAGGCGCTAGGTGACTTGCCACTGCCCCGATTAATAGCTAGGCCTTTGAAAACCAAGAAAGGCGCTCTCCTTAGTCGTCCGCCTAGCCCACCTTGCGCTCGCCTAGACCCTCCTAGGTCGCGGCTCACTTAGACAGAAAATCGATAACTTTGGTTTTACATTTTATTTTTGTTTAGTGAATTGTAAGAGACTTTTTTAATACTTTGATGAACACTCACTACATGTTTTTTCTCCATATTTTCAATATGTTATAGTACTTCAATCTATATGTCATTTGATTTTGTGATTTAGCATCTCAATACAATTATATATTTTTTTTAAGTATAAATGGGTACTTATTTTATATGAAATATAATATATTTACTTAAATCCGCCTAAGAGCCTGCCTAGGCCTCCCCTAGCCACCTAGGCGCTAGGCCTCAGCCCACCGTCCAATTAACGCCTAGCGTCTTTTAGAACCTTCCTAATAGCAAGCAATTTAGGGTCCAAACAGCTTCTACAGAAACCACCATCTTTTGAAGGTGTAATACAAGTGTACAACTTGTGGTACATGATAGCTTCAAATTACTTTACTACTAATAACAGCAATGCATTTCTTTATGTCTGAAGTGCGACGATTACTGTAAGCATCTGAATGTTGTTACAATTTTAATGCTTAAGTAACTACTTCTACCGCTCCATGATCTAGCCATTGAAGAGTAGTGACTAGTTCTTAACGAGTGGTATGTGTTGAGAATATCACGTTTAAGAATGGGAAAAACAAGAACAAACTCCAGAAATCGAAAAACAAATAACCAAGATAAATAACACCAAGAATTTACGTGGTTCAGCAATATGTGCCTACGTCCACGGGATAGCAACAACAATCTTTCACTATATCAATAATGAATACAACCAATAATCTTGCCAAACCTCTAGAACTAGGAATTGACGAAAAAACCTGAAAGAACAAGAACAAGAAATACACTATCTCTTTTCTTTTCTCTTACACACACTTTACAATATTCTCTCACTCTAATCCCAAGAGTGGTATACAATTTATTGTTTTGCTCCGTCCCAATTCAAAACTAGTACAATAGCCCCTTTATATAGACATAATAAAGGTCTTCTTCAATAAGGATTACTAATCCTAATTGTAATCTAGTTATGAATCCTTCTTCAATTGAGAAACCAACTCCAATTGGGAAAACAACTCCAATTGGGAAAACAATTTAATCCTCTAAGACTATAATTCCTTATAGACTTAGGACAACTTATCATGGGCTGGAAAAAACCCAACAGTATGAGCCAAATCCCATGTCTAGGGTTGAAGTTGGTATTATATACTATAGTGCTGAGTGGTTGCATACTAGTAGATGAGTGAAGCTACCGGTGTAGATGAGTGAAGCTACCGGTGTAGATGGCTTCCACCTTATCAATGGTAGAGCAGCCAACAGAAACATCAGGATTTAAAATCATAGTGGAATTTTACGATATTAAAGGTTGAGTATTGGATGGTTCATAATAGAGTCCTAATCCGGTCAGATGGGGAAGTAAATAAATGACTAAGAAACATCCTAGAAAGGAAAATGATTTGTTGGCAAGTTGATGAGTTGATGAGATGGCAGGAATGGTCATGCTGCATACCACACTTAGCAGATGTTTGCACGTGATTTATGTTTTTGAATGCATGCTATGACAGGGTATTGAAAAAGAGGTTGCTGATGCTCAGAATGGTTCCCCTGATCACGTTTTCAAGGAATGTCTCATGCGATTATCATGGGCTCTTGTTCATTCAAGGAATCCAGAAGATGTGCAACGTGGCATAGCAATGCTTGAAGGTTCTCTCTCTCTCTCTTTCTCTCTCTCTCTCCCCCCTACACACCTATACACCCTCACTCCCATTAACGTACAATATATACACAAACACCATTTTCCTTAGGTCTTTTTAGATAAGCCAATGTGCTTACCGTGACTCTTTGGACCATATGATGTCTTTTCCTAAGCACTTAACACCGCAACCTCCTTTGTGGTGTTCAATTTATTGCTTTTTGTTACTTTTTATTTTTCTGCCTTGATATATTGTAGAGGTTATGAGGGATCCAACTAAAGCCCCACCGGAAGCGAGAGAGCCGCTATATCTTCTTGCTGTTGGGTATTACAGAAGTGGTGAACATACCAGGTGCAGGGAACTTGTGGAACAGAGTTTGGCGGTATGACTTTGTTTAGATTTGATTATGCAAACATTTCAGAACTTAATGCATGACTACGTACTTTGAAACTACTTGCTCTGCACGTCTCTTATCGTTGAAAGCATCAATAGTCAATATTAGAAGGAGATTTAGAGCTGCTCCTCAGGAGCTATGGGTGGAAAACACTCGGTTATTATCTTCTGTTTACTGTCTCTTTCTATATTGTAGTCCAGATTGCATTAATTATGTTGACGCCAGTACTTATGCGTGCTTAAGGAAGTGTTGGTTTTTTATTTATCTCTTATCCTCGAATGTGCTTGTATGGTCTGCACTAGATTTACCATGATATGGTTCTTTTGTAGATTGCACCTGATTGGAGACAGGCACTGAACCTTAAGAAAATGAACGAAGCCCGGATCAAAAGAGGTAGAAATCAATCATTTCTCTCTCTCTTTCCTCTCTCTGAAAATGAAACTGAAACTGTCAGTACTCTCCCTTCTTTGAATGCAGATGGTGCGATTGGCATAGGAATTGCAGCGACTGCTGTTGGACTGCTTGCTGGTGGAATTGCAGCGGCTGTGGCTCGGAAGAAGTGATCCAGTATGCTTGACCTGTGACTTTCCTGTTCATATAAATTTTACATTAGATGTAAAATTAATACAAGTGTTCGCTTAAACAAATTATCGTGAAGAAAAACCAGGAGTCAGATAATCGTTGTTTTTCTCTCTTTAAGAGAGTTTATGCTTTCTTTTATTTTTTAATAAACGATATTATTTGTTAGTAACAGCCCAAAATTTGTAGTGGATGAATATGTGACACGGGTTAGATGTGGGACTTGGATCCTCTCTGGATCCTTAACAAGAAGCCAAACGCGCCTTTCCTCCTCTTTCACGTTGGCGAACTTGTGCCTCCCCTATTCACCGATCTCCCAGATCTCCAGCAAGAAGAAGAAACAGTATAAGCCTCCGTCACACGGGGAAAGAGTCACAATGGGAAATGGTTTGGGAAATCAAGTGCAGAGTGGGCAATGGGAAACAGCCTAAGGTCCTATTTGGTGGGTTGAATGAGATAAGTTGTGATCAATTAAAATGGATCGAGTCCAATCCGTTGTTGCGTCAAAATGAGAAATAAACAGGACTAAATATGATATGTTATGAATTCGCAACAAAGTCAGTCATCGAACTTATCTTCATACACGAATTACAAGTTATTTTCAATTCAATCATATTCTTATCGCCCAATCCCATCTAGCTAACCAAACAGGAGCTTACAATTTTTTTTTATGAACAAACGATATTTATGGACACTTAATTCATCTCCAATGAGTGGGACAAGCTTAAAATTTAAGCTTTAAATCCCATCAAACCATCTCCAATTATTGGTCTAAAATAAGCCTTAGAGAGAAAATAAAACTTTGGGCTAGATTCTCCTCAGAAATTATACTAAGCTTAAATCATTCTGGGTCTACTGAACTGTCATATTTCAAACATTTTTTTTTTAACTTATTATTCAACGGTTATGATTAAATAAGATCAAATCTAATAATATAAAAAAGGATCAGAGACCCAAAATTAAATCTAACATTCAGATTATTTAAATCAAATTTCACTCAATACCAATGTATTTGTATTTGTGTGATTTTCATTATTTATTAGAATTTAAATATTTTTATGTTAAAATGTTTATAAAAATAAATTAGGATAATTTGGGCTGCTTCGAGGTCATGATTCTGAACCGAAACTCAAAGCCCGAATCCCAAACAGACACTCTTTGAGATAGGATTGTAAAACCCGAAACCGAACCAAAATTTCGGAGTTCCCGAATGTCGGTATTCCCGAAATTGTTTCGGTTTTTGGGTCCGGAATCAGGAATGAATGCAGTCAGAAGATATCAACTAAATTTAGGAAGATCGAATGAATGCAGTCCCCAAATAACAAATATCCAGTCCCCTAATCCCAAATTTGCAGACAACCCTCAAAAATCAAAGAGTCAAAAATCGAAGAAGCCGTCGATCAAAATTCAAAAGCAGAAAACCAAAAAGAAAGAAATCAAGCAGTAATTGCAATTAGGGGATTTTCAAAACAAAAATCCTAATTTTAATTGTAAATCCCCAAGTTGGAAGTTCAAAACCCTAATCCTCAAATTCAGAATCCAAATCGAAATCAAGGTACAATAATTTCATGAAGTTTGGCACCTTCAGATTAGAGAAGCTTCGATTTGGAGGTTGTTGGAGGTGGAAGCGTGGAAGTCTGGATCTGAAATATGATGCAGTGGTCGATGACTCGACGGCCGACATGTTGAGTATGTTGACAGAGGGAGGAGGAGGAGAGCAGAGAGTGCAGAGACGATTGGATAAACCATCTCCAATTATTCGCCCGCAATTATGCTTTTATGTACTGCTACCAAATACAAAAGCCATCTTTATGTCTGCAGAAAAACTTTCATAGCTGCTGTAAAAACCTTTTTCATTTAGTACTGAGATCCTTTTATAAAAGTGAGTATAAAAAAAAGTTGAGCTCAAAAAAGTATTTGGTAAACATTTAAAAACAGCTTATTTTCACAATTTTGAGTGAAAAAAAGTTGAAAACATGAAGCAATAAAAATATGCTTATTTTCACAGCACAGCAGAAATAGTTTTTTTTTCAAAGGCGAGTAATACCAAACCAACCATGAGCTAATACCAAAAGCTTGATTTTCAAAGAAGCCTAATTGTACGCACTTCACTACGAAGAAAATTCAAAACAAACACGAACAGTAGATTGTACTCGAATTGAATCAGATATACGAACATTCAAAAGACCATGTATTAAGTAGGTAATTTTGTTAGCCTCAAAAGAGTGCAAGAGGAGGAACAAATATGCATTATCTACATAGCATCCTGAAAGAAAATGAATTACACAGATAAACTGTGAATCAAATCCTGGAAGGGATCAGAGGGGTATTGTTCTGGAAGTATGCACTGGCAGCTGCAACTCCGCTTCCGAGCTTAACAGGGTATCCGACATCCTTAAGCACCATCTCCACACCAGCAAGACAACCCAACAGTTGCAACTGGAAACAGAATAATTATCAGATATCAAAAACTGAGGAAGTTACTACGTAAACCTTGTACTTCATTATAACCGTTGCATTTTACTTGCATTGCAAGCTTTCCCAATGATGTTCATATGTACCGTTAAGTTTAACTTTTGCCCCATTCTCTTTACACAAACAAAAATGCAAAGCATATGGTATATAGCACAACTTCGAGGATGATAAATAAATGAATTGGGTGCTATAAACAAGCCTCATTGAAGTGATGTTATAATTTGTAGATTTTTGTGTTCTCCCATTTTCGTATAGAGCGTAATTGACAGAGGGAGGTCAAAAGGCTAGTTTCTACCTACTTTATTACATGATATCCAGTTTAAGCCGAAAAGAGGTCCACTTCCGTTTGTACTTCCATTCGAACTGATGTCGAATGGTGCTTGAAATATGTAAATAATGTAAGATGCAAGGGATTGACATTACCTCATTCAGGTTGCCAAGATGCCCTATTCTGAAAACCTTGCCGGCTATTTTGTTCAGGCCTAGGCCTAAGCTCAAATTGTACCTTTTCCATGCCCTTTTCACAATTTCGGTACTGTCAATGTATGGAGGAACAAGAACAGCAGTCACTGTGTCACTCACCCATTCCTCGCTTTGGGTGCAGTTCTTCAACCCCCATGCCTCCACAGCAAGCCTGCACTTCCAAGTTGTAGGCAACGTTCAAATACCCCATTTAATGCAATACAACAGTAAGCAATTGGGAGACGAATAGTTGTAACCAGAAGCTATACCTTGTTGCTTTGCCCAAACGGCTATGCCTTGCAATCACATTGTCAAGTCCTTCCTCAAAAACAAGATCAAGTGCTGTACGCAGCCCATACAGCAACTGGATAGAAGGGGTGTAAGGCCAGTATGTTCCCAACTTATAGAACTTCAAGTAATCATTCCAGTCGAAGAACACCCTCACGGATTTTGCAGTTTTAGATGCCTCCAGAGCTTTGGGGCTTGCACACACAATCCCAATTCCAGTGGGGAGGGAAAGAGCTTTCTGAGAGCCAGTTAAAGCAACATCTACCCCCCACTCATCCATACGGAAATCAAGAGCACATATGGAAGACACTCCATCGACAAGGAAGAGAGCCGGATGCATGTAGTTATCTGAGAGTTCAATGAAAAAAGCATGAGAAGCATTCCATGAAGGTAACTGACAAGTAGGAATAAGTATCCAGAGACAGGAAGAAAATGTGACTAAGATTAACTGATGTCTGCAAGTACTCTTGTGGCTCTGCCTCGGATAGATAATGGAGAGCCACATACATAAGCATATAGACAACCATTTTAGAACTGATAATAGAACATGTACACAAGCAGATTACGGATATAAAATGAAAGCTAAATCAGGCATAGAAGAAGACAAGCCTACCAAGTATTTTTCTGACTTTAGCCAAGTTGTTTGTGACTCCGGTGGCTGTTTCATTGTGAACAATGCATATTGCCTTTATAGTGTGCGCGGTATCTTCTGCAATTTTTGACTCCAGAACGTCAAGGTTGGCACCTTGGCCCCATTCACTTTCTACAACATCCACATTGAACTTAAGGCGCTGCTGCTGATCGATCCACAGTAAACTGAATTGGCCAATCAGGAAAGATACAATCCGGTCCCCAGGAGATAATGTGTTTGTAAGCGCACTCTCCCATGCACCAGTGCCTAAAAAATTTAGAGAAATGTTATAAAGAACTTAGCCATTCACAGTCAATTCACCTAATTATGAACGTAAGATCGCTTCTAGTTGTCCAAACCATGTATAATACTCAGACACTACAAACAACTTTCACAAGATGTGATAAAAGAAGAACTGATCTGAAAAGTACATTACAACGGAATGGAAAAAACTGAGACCAAAATGGTTATTGAGATACCTGTGGTAGGGATCATAAATGGAGTTCCAGATGTAGTCTTGAAAATCTGCTTCACATCCTCGAGCAGAGTTTTGGTCATTGCTGGGACAGCGGGAGAACGGTAATCCTCATTGTTCCTGTTCATGGCCCGAAGGACTGGCTCCGGAATATTGACCGGGCCTGGAACAAAGAGGTGGTTCCTTCCTGGTCCATAAACGTAGTCCATTTTCACCTCCCTGCAGGCTCACAATGAGCCGAACCTCAGCTGCAAACCAACTTAAAGATTTAACCTCAGCCGCACCGAAAAAAAGCAGTCTCCATCTGTGCAGGTTTCTAGTTTGAAGTTTGAACTCAGCCTCAGACAAACAAGAAGAACTATTATGTTTTCACAAACACACACACCTATGCACGGACATACTATGTACCTATCAGGGAATACATTTCATATGCATTTTCCACAATCGTAAAATACACAGAATCATTGGGACTAAGTAGTAGTACGAGGGTTTTAGTCCGTCGACTGTCGATGCTGTGAAAATGATACTGACAGTGTTTCGGAGAAATATAGCAGAGGGGGTTAAGGGCTGGTTTGGTATTGCTGTACTTTGAAAAAAAGTTGCTTTTGCTGTGAAATAAAGCACTAGAGTATTGGTAAACTTTTTTGTAAAAGTGCTTTTGAAAAAAAAAAGCAGTATTATAGTGTTTGGTAAACTTTTATGTAAAACAAATGTGAAAAAAAACCGGTTTTTCAAAGCTGGGTTTTGCATCTTCTTGTTTTTGGCTTTTTTCACCCAAAACTGTGAAAAAAAGCTGAAGCTGAATGTTTACCAAACACAAAAACAGCTTCCAGCTTTTTTTGATACCAGCTTTATTCAGAATCACATCAATACCAAACCAGGCCTAAATCTTCCATTCTTTTTCTGCAGTGCAGGCTAATGACCTTGATTCTTTTCTCCCCACCAGCCAAATTTAAGCCTTTTAATTTCCTCTAGTATTTCAATAAAACTAGTATCGGCTATGTGTGTTCTTGGGGACAACTCTCTGGCCTAAAACAAGAAAATATTACTGCTACTGACTTCTTGAGCTTCATTTTCTCAACTATTTTCTTAAAAGTAGTATCGATATTGAGCCTGCAATAATTTAAGGTTGCACAGAGAGTAGAGCGAGAATCAACATACCTGTGTTATTTACTAGACATACATACACGTTGATAATTTAAGTTTTACACAAAAACAGTAAAAAAAGTCCAACTGAAGTTAAAAAAAAAAAAAAAAAAAAAAAAAACACTCATCCATCCACTTGTTATGCTTTAATTGATGCTTAATTGTGAAAATCGTTTGCATTTGAATTTGAAATGAAAACCCTTGTAGAAATACAAATGATACATATATCAGTGCAAACATCTGTATTATTTGTTTACCATGAAGAGAAACATTAGTATTAGTAAATAAAGAGAATTATCCATTACAATCTAATCCTAGACATCAAACGCGACCTCAAATTTCTTACATACCTGAACCATACTGAAATTGAACTAAGAACACCCTTAACATAAAAACTAAATACTGAATTAGGAGTATTAATCTGTGTATATTTTGAATCAAAACAAAAGCTAATATAGAACTATTTAAATTTGGGGTCATACAAAAAACACACTAAACTACACACACACACACACACACATATATGTATGTGTGTGTGATAGGTGCATTATTTATCATATTTTCATGTTAATTATTCCTAAGTTTTGTAAGGAATTGATTATAAAAGAGCTTTATTGTTTTCCTTTCCTTAATTTCAGTCAATTTGTGCACTTAGAATGTTTTTGCTGATAAATCGACTTTGCGGAAGAGTTGGCATGCAACGCCAATTGGAGAAGGAAGCTATGAGGCTGAAGATTAATATATATCTTGTATTTGATTAAGAGACAAAAGTGATGTAGATGAGATTAGAGGTAAAAGCATGATAACAAAAGTGAAAGCAAAAAATTCAGAAAACAGATATGTAGTATAAACGCCAACTGATCATTAGAAATATGTCGATGTACAGATACATATATATTTATATATATATGTATATATGTATGTGTGTGTGTGTGTAATGAATGAAAAGAGAAGAGAGGAAGAAGATGAGTTTTTACGTACCCAAAGGCAGCAACGAGTGGAAGGCAAAACAGAATTCTCTTCAGGGTGTTGATGGCAAAGCCAAAGCACAAGACAAGTGCCTGCTCTCCTCTTTAAGCTTATTTTTTTTATATTTCTACGATATGAGGTGGGCGGGATGTTGACGGGGACCTACTTTTCTCAAAACGTGGCAGATAAGAGCCACACCAATGAAACCCTCTTTCATTTCATTTGTGCATTGGATTTCCACTTCGAAAATTTAAAATAATAATTATGAGTTAAGGTTTATTTTAATTTCTCCACTGTCATCGCAGTCCAATGGTATATCTCATATCATTTGCAAGTGAGATTGTGTTTAACTTTCATAAATGACGAGCTCGAAATTAAATTATTGCTTTCATTATGTGTCTTATTCTAATTTCTTATCCAAATGTTGTGGTATAAAGATAAAGTTTATTTCAATTCGGTTTTTTAGTTGAGTAATATTCTAATCTAAACGACATTAGCATTATGGTTTACTGGTATTAATTTTTTGAGAGAAGTTTTGTACAACCAACAAAAAGTGAGAAGTTTTATGTTCGACTTTCGTGGATCGCCAGTTTGGGACCAAATTTCTGTAATTGACTCATTTTATGACTTACCTTAAATCCTTATTTCTTTATTTTAATATAAATATAGAGAGCATAAAGCTTGAGTACAAAAAAGAGTACATTCTACAAACTGTCTTTTTTTTTTTTCTTTTTTTCTGTGTGTAGAGTGATAGTGTTAGTGGGTTAGATAGTTAGTTGTCAGCGAGGAGGAAAGTCGATGGGATCAAACCTGTAACAAAGTACAAGGCATAATTGATTTCTGTCACTAGGTTAAAGCAACATCTGCTTGTACAAATCCACTTAAATGAAAATGAAAATAATAATAATAAAAAATTAAAAACCAAAGAATGCAAGCCAAACAAGAAACTAGGATAATGTAGGAGTAGAAAATGTAGGTTATAAAAATATATTTAAAAAATGTATGGACATGAATTACTAGAATAATTCAATGAATTAAAATTTTGGATGATAAAATGAAGGTTGAGGTTGAGAAAGTACAGTGAAGGATAAAGTGATAAAGGGCAGCTGCAGACCACACCTACTTTGTGGGAAGCAACACCACACACGCCTTCTTCATTTGTTTTCTTCCTATGTTTCTGTCCATTTCTTTTCTGTAATCTTATTTTTTTTCTTTGAGTCAAACTATACTTTTATTCTCACTTGTAAGTGAGAGATCTTAAATTCGATTAATAGTTCCTTTGAGTAAACTATATTGCATTTTTTTATTTATAATGGTTGAGGAAACATCATTAACAGGCTTCACCACATGGGCATGATTAATAGTTTTTTTATCGCCACTTTGTACTATGGTTTAGTAATATTCCTCTTCATTTGTAAGTGAGGTCTTAGGTTCAATTCTCACGAAAGGCGAATTTGAACCACATTGTTAGGCACTTAGTACTATGGTCTGGTGGTATTCCTCTTCACTTTTAAGTAAGAGGTCTTATATTCGAATCTCGTGAATGGCAAATTCGATACAAAATTATATTGCCCATTGTGTGCTTAGCTGAACTCTTCCCTCCCCTTAGTATAAAATATATTGTTGTACTAAAAAAGAATAGTTTTTTTTTTACTACAGGAATCAATTCAAAATTAGTGCCTCGCCACAAGGACCTTGAAAAAAAAAAATTAGGGAACTTTCATAAAAATGGCTTGGGCTAAGTTTATTTTAAGCAAAAATCATGCTATAACTTTATTAAATGAAAAATACTTAAATTTTAATGAAAATTCTTAAACTTTAATAAAAAGGACAAAAGAACTTAAATTTTAATGAAAAAGACATAATTTTAATATTAAAAAAATTAAAAAGAAACTAATGCGCAGGACCGGCACGTCGTCACACATACTATTTACAAAACTTACTACACTGTTTATGAAATTTACTACGCTGTTTATAAAACTTACTATATTGTTTATGAAACTTAATAGTACTACACTGTTTATGAAACTTAATAGCATTACACTGTTTATGAAACTTAACATTAAATAAAGTTATTAGATGACTTTTGGTTAAAATGCAAAGTTTTGACACTCCTATCATTAATTTTCCTAAAAAAAGTATAATCAAACCATATATACAATTTCAATAGCTCACAGAGTAATGTGAGAAAATAAACTAGATATTTTTTTTTAAGAGGAAAATGTTGCCTCTTATAATGGATTCCATTCCACAAGACATGGGGCGAAATGTACTAATGTGTAGTTTGCGTTGGTTCAATGAGGTTGTCTGCATCACTTCATAAGAAACGGAAACAGAAATTGCCGAGAAAAATGAAAACGAAGGAACCAAGCAGTCTGAGAGACGTCTCTTAAAACCGGCCACACGAAAGCATTCTTTTTCGAGGGGCCAATAACTGTCACTATGGGGCAGAATGGGGGAGGAATCTAATGGGTCGATAAGATTTTAAACACTAGTGAAGGTGAAGGTGAAGGTGATGGTGAAGTTGATGGAGACGTTCTCCTTCAACGTCGTGTTCAAATGCAATTGAGCACGCATTCACCACCAAGGAATTGCTAGTTCGGAAGGTACAAGGGGAAAATAGAGCGAAAGAGATCGATTATCATGTCCAAATAATCCTTCTTCGGAAGATTTTGCAATCTTATTCTTGCTATACAACCAATGAACCATAATATAGATATTGGAAAGTAATAACTATCAACAATTCAATATATGAAATAATGACATAAATAATAGTCTCCAGAACTACTGGGGAAGAGGAGAATACCAAAAACTACTTCAAAATTGATAATGTACACCTGCTACATTCTCCTTCTGTATGTATACGTTCGATGAGTAAGAAAATCGTTTCACTAACTGGCCCTATTTACGTCAACACAGTACCAACCGAACTCATCTTGGGACGAAAAATAAAATGCTGCAGAATTCCACCAGCCTTGGATCGTCAGCTCAGCGGCTCAGCCACGTCTCGTTCAATGGTGCCAATCCCACTTGGCCGATAACCTGTTCTGATCATCTCAGAAACCCAAGTCGGGTCTCCAAAAGTTTATTCCCATGGTTGAAAAAAAAAATCCAGAGAATATATATGTATGGGCTGAAGTCATAAATGTCCCCAGGTAAACGAGAACCAGCCACTTTCCTACCAATTTGTATGTAGAACTACTTAATACCTGATGTGAAAGCTTGTTTTGTTGGTAAACCTGTCTGCCGTGTCCTATAAGGCCTTTCATTCACAGCGCGTTTATTTTCTGATGGTCCTGCACCAAGAATCCCTAATGAGCTTGGATCAGTTAACCGGGTACCATTATTCATATTTCTTTGAGATGGGGCCTGAACTTGGATATTGCTATCAGCTTCCCCTCTCCTCCTTCGTTTCCATGCTTCAAACTTCGCTGTATCAGGACCTCTTTGCCTGTCCGAATGGAAGGAGAAGGGAGAAGGGTCATTGTCTCTGCCAAAGGGACCAGAAGCAGAGCCATTCATGTGGGAAGGGCCAGCCTCCACATCCTGGTGCTGTTTAAGTTTTGAGTATATTTGATGAAGTCTCTCCCCGGACAGATTTGAAAAGGTAGAAACATAGTTCCACAAGCGCATGCTCATCCCTGTAGAGTCACACTTTGTTAATCTATGACCTATATTGACTCCAATTTAAAACATGCCCCGTGAACACGAAAAACGAATTTGTCACCTATGCAGTCCTAGGGCTTGTCTAATGTAGGATCAAGTATTCACTTAAAGATGATAATCTAATCAATTAAACTTGAAACATCCAACAATCGTAGATACAGAAGCAATCAGGAATGACAAAAATAAAGCATACAAGGATGAAGCACATACTATCTTGTCCATACGGTTCCTCCTCATTTTCTAAAACAATTTGATCTATTGTTCGTCCAAGAAGCTGTAAATAACTTCGAATCTTGGAAAGCACCTGAAAAAAAACATGAAAAACTATACCAGCACGAGATTTATGATCTAACAATGGCAGAAATACAAATTTATGATTTAAGCCACACCTTTTCCTTTGGGAGATTGGCACTAATCGTCTGCAACCGTTGAAGACGATTTAAGGTTTTAGTTTCATCCTTCATCATCTCTTCACACCATTCCATCCATTTCTCCTCCTTAAACTTCTCATACACTTCATCATCGTCTGACATTTCACCCTCCTCTTTCACTAAAGGTTCAACTTTCTGGGGTTTCAGTGGTCTGTCCTTGTTCGTTGGAAAATTAGCTCTAGAAGAACTGGTTTTTCCTTTCTTTGGCCCACTGCGAGCTAAAGAAACATTGCGAGTAGCTTCCCTCTCCTTTGAAGCCTTACGACCCACTTTAACATTTGCATTCTTTCCACTAAGAGCTGCAATATCCTGGTTACAGATGTTTTATTCATCAACTCATGCCATATAGGAGCCAAATCATTTACTTACATTATTCAAGAATATCAATCACATTCAGAATGGATCAGCTTTGACCATGGAAGGGTTAATCTTAGACCTAGCATTAAGTTTGACAAAGTCACATGTTCTTAAAACAACAATCATCTCGGCACACTCATAAAAGAACCATTTTCTTTTCCAATCCTACTTCAGAAATTATAAGCACGATCATAAGTTTATTGCATACCATTTCCAAAAGAGCGTTGGCCCGATCTCTCAAATTTGGAGCACGGGGTAAAAATGTTTCATGGTGTTGAAGTTCCACTGGAGCAATTTTCTTTGTAAGGCCAAGCCTTTCATCTAAACGTATCTTTTCCCAATTTCCAAAGCCATGGTAGTATATTCCAATGAGCAATCTTGCATCATCAACTATCAACAAGGCAAATATCAGCAAAAGGTAACCAAACGGTAACCGCCTTTCTAGATGGAAAAGGAAAAAATAAATTATAAGAAAATATGTAATACATACTTTGATTCCAGCCACAACCTTTCGACCAATTTGAAGGTTTGAGGTACATCAAGACACGAAACTGAGCAACGGGATCGTCATATCGACTAATGCGTTTTGCCAGGTGTTGAAGTTCACGAACACGGTTGAGCAGATCACCAGCTTTGACAGGGACACCATAAAAATCCAGCAATGGCCCCTAATAAGTACCACAAATTTG